TGAAGCATGTGAGACTGTGAATCCTGGCATACAAGAAGGGAGGAAATGGTTTGGGTGTTGTTGACTTTCTTGCCTGTGGAGAACCTGTATTCATAAGAAGCACTTAGATGTGCATGTAGGATCTCTCTTCATAAATATCTGTTGAAACCTGATTTGCATTTTTGTTGTTATTTTTATTTGTATTCTGTATGAACTTGCTCTTTTAAGGAGTAAATATATATTTTTTTCTATTAAACTGTTTATGAATGTTAAAGGATTTTTAATATGATTGATGTGTGATTGTTATTGATAATAGTTATTTTATTTGTTAAATATTTTTTATTGACATGTAGCATTTTCTATATTTATATTTTTATACCTATTTTTTACTAAAACCTCAGTATCAAATATTTAAGAATGGTATTTAGAATTAAAGGTTTTGAAAATACATCAAATTCAGTATAAGATATACAAAGCTTGTAATTTTTAATCATAGAGCTGGAAAATACCTACAAAATTTACAGTTAGTCACTAAGTTTTTATGATGGTGGGTGTACGGAAGATAAGAACTGTTCTCTTAATGGTAATGGTGCTTTTGTTAGTGTTTATTATGAAACAGGTTGGTCAGCAATGGTCTGTCAAGGAGTACACCCCAGGAAAGCATGTAATGGGCAGAAATCGCCTAGAGGACCTTGTTGTCATCATCAGAGAATTTGAGACCTTTGATAATGATGTAAGTGAGACTGTTGAATCTGTACTGAGTGCATGTGGTGGAGTGTGTAGGGTTTTAGTCGTCAGTGATGAGACCATTTATCCACCCCTGCACCTGCCAAAACAAGTCAAGTCACTGGTCTTAACACCTGGACTTCTGCACCACCGTCCACACCTGCCTGATTTTCTCACAAATACGAAGTATGTGTTGATACTGCCTGATGGCGCACGGTGTTCTTCTCGCATGCAGATGCATGACCTGATACACTTGCTTGACACTGGTGATTGGCAGGTAGTTGCAGTTGGTGTGGGTGGATCACCTCTCACATGCCATCGTTACACACTTGACATTCAGGCCTGGACACTCTCTATAGCCCCAGCACCTCAGAGTGAGGCATGTGATGCAATAAGTGGCCGTGCAGCCATCCTAATGCAAGTTGGTGATTTCCTAAAGCTGACTCATCCATTAGCTCGACCCATCCCAGTTAGTATAGGTATACAGGGAGCATCACGTTCTTGGAAAGTCCATGTCAGTCGAGGAGGGTTATTTGGTGAGGGCCGTCAGCTGTACTCAACGGAGCACTTGCAATGGAAGCATGATTCACTTGAAGAAGAAAGAAGAAAGGCTTTATATGCTGCTCTAGGAGTTAAGAAAGTGGTAAGTTCTGGTGGCAATGTTCTGTGGTATGGCTGTACTCGTACAACACCACGGTGCTTTCCAACAGTGGTGGATGACACACCTGACTACCTCTACCTGGGTCGTTGGACACCACCATGTTGTCTGGAAGGGCTTAGAGCCACAGCTAGACATGTATTTCAAGCTTTGAAAGCATGTCGTGCTCGCTGGTGGTTGGAAGGAGGTTCACTACTGGGGGCTGTTCGCAATGGAGACATCATTCCTTGGGATTATGATGTGGATGTAGGAATTTATGCACAAGATGTGGATCGTTGCCCACAGCTTAAAGCAGCACGTTGGCAAACTTTAGAGGATGCAGAAGGCTTTGTGTGGCAGAGGGCATCAGAGGGAGGTTTTTTTAGAGTACACTATAGCACTACTAATCACCTCCATGTGGATGTCTTTCCCTTCAGCCCACGTGGAGGTGCCATGACACGTGGTGGAGCTTGGACAACAGGCCACCGTCAAGACATAGATTTCCCAGAACATTTCTTAAGACCCCTTGCCACAGTTAACTTTGCTGGGGTCTTAGCCTCAGCCCCCAACAATGTGCGCGACTTTTTAGAGCTCAAATTTGGTGCAGGTGTCATAGAGTCACCACAGTACCCCAATCCTGATGTGCTTGTCTCTCAAAATATCTCAATTCTGCCACACCTGTGATGTGGACCTTGCCTTACAGAGGAGTTGATAGGTACAACAGTGGACTCTAGGGCACTCTCTTGGTTGCCATTGCAGGTATTCTTGTCTTCTGATGCAAATGTGAATGTTTTTACGAATAATTCATCTCGTCTTATTAGTGTGCATTTATTGTTGATGTGTTGTCTTCCAACAGTGTGAAGTATATTTTATCAAATTATATTGATATTGAATATCAGTGGAATCAAAATATTGAATAGTAAGTAAAATCATTACTATTGATTTCCTTACATACTCTCATTTGTGATTACTCTTCAGGAAATGTATACAAGTTTGATAGATAAATTAAGGAAAAATTGCTGATGTTGGCTATTTGTTGATATGATTAGAAAAAAAACTAATATTTAAGTTTGCAGTGCTATTGGCATCAAATGTTTTGTTGTTCATAGAATCAGTTGAATAAAATTTCCAGTGACTGAAAAGTGTGATATGTTAAAG